TTATATATATGAAATATTTGAGATACAATATAAAATTCCAAATAAATTTGTAAAATAAGTTTGAAGTAATAATACAAAAATAAAAAAGTTATATAACTAAATATACTAATATATTCATACGAAATAATACATACAATAAACAAATTATTTAACTACAATGTTTAGTAAATTTAAAATGATATTAAATTTCATAACATATATATTATGCAGTTATTAAAAAAAATCCACCATTTATCTCTTTTTCTTTTGAAGAACCTGAAACACCCGAATCTGGTGTCCCTATTGGAAGTGTTTCGCCGCAAGCGTCGCCTGCATTTGGTCTTTGAGTTCTGTGAGCTGACAGTGCTGCACGAGCTGGAACGCCATCCGCAGGGCTGTCCCGAGCCGCTGACCAAACAGATCTGCTATCAGACACTGTTGGGCGTGGCGTATTGCCATAAACAGGGTTGCCTGCATCGCGACATCAAGCCAGAGAACATACTGCTCACGGCCCAGGGTCAGGTGAAGCTGTGCGACTTTGGTTTTGCCCGCATGCTCAGTCCGGGCGAGAATTATACGGATTATGTGGCGACGCGCTGGTATCGAGCACCTGAGCTGCTCGTGGGCGATACGCAATATGGAACGCCCGTGGATGTGTGGGCGATTGGCTGCCTGTTTGCGGAGCTGGTTCGGGGCGAAGCGCTGTGGCCGGGACGCAGCGATGTGGATCAGCTGTATTTGATACGCAAAACATTGGGGGATTTGCTGCCGCGCCACATACAGATTTTTGGACAGAATGAATACTTTAAAGGCATAACGCTGCCCGTGCCGCCCACGCTGGAGCCACTCGAGGATAAAATGCCAGCGAAGGCGTTGCAAAATCCGCTTACCATAGATGTGCTCAAGAAGTGCCTAGACAAGGACCCAGCCAAGCGCTGGTCCTGCGAAAAGCTGATTAAGCACTCCTACTTCGATGACTACACGGCCAAACAGCGCGAACTAGATCACATCAACAGCCTCGAGGCGGCCACACTCCGGCAGCAGCAGCTCGCCTCCCAGCAATTCATGCTGGCCACCGCCGCCCAACAGCTGCAGACGGGCGCGGCTCAGGCAGCGGCCATTGCAGCGGCGCGTGATAAATCAAAGGTGCGAATACAATCATTTTAATTTATTTAAATTCGTAAGGTATGACACATAACCATTAATTTATATTTTAATTGAATGAGATCAAATTATATATATTTTGTATAATTTTAAATTTAAAAAATAATTTCACAAAACT